GATTGATCTTTCTAAAGCTTTAGTCATTGGCCGTTTGTAATATTTACGGCGTGATCGTCTTAATTAGGACCCTTATTTACGTTGTGTTTGTTTAGTAACTTAGTTATTTTAGGAGTCTTTTGGATGAGTGAATATTCACTAGAGCAATTGAAAGTCGTTGCCAGTGCCTTATAAGCTAAGTGAACCCCAATTGCGAAGACAGGGTTCGAGAAAGATCAAGAACATTAAAACCTCCCTATTCTACTTGTATCAGGTTTACATTATTGATTTATTATTAACTATCCCTTCCCGTTTGGAAAAAACTCAAAATATGTATATATATAAAATACCCGATACAAGGGTTTCGCCCTCCCACATTTATTAAAGAAAATGTGGGGGGAGGAACACGGCATGCGCGGTGAACGCCAAACATTTAATGCGCTCCCCCCGTAGGGACGTTAAGTTAGGAACTGGACCGTAGTCCACAGCAAGATAACTGGCGAACCCGTAAAAGAGGGCTTGGCCTCTTGGTAGTGCGTAAGCACAAACATCCACCGAAGTCGCGCATGTCAATGCGTGTAAACGCCATACAGAATACGAACAAATCCAGCCACAGTGAATCACACGGTTTGGGCAAATAGGCATACTGGCCATAAACCCTTTGTGAGCGTCACCACCTGCCAGACCACCGTTCCTACAGACGTGATGTAAGCGTACGGCATCACCACCAGTTGCAAGATCAGCACGGCTACTAGCCGCAGAGCGTGTCATGAGTCTACCGCTCACCTCAAGGTAATGGGGTCCCACGTTGTGCTGATTTCAGCCGCAGCCTTGAGAGTCTCCTCAGATCCTCCCTCCAGCTACCACCCGCATGAGGTCGACACATATGCTCCACCAACCAATACAACGGCAAATATAGCCAAAAGGCAGTTATAAGATAATAGTAATGATTTGCCATCAGAAAGGGTTTGTGTCACTGACGTTGAGTATATGTAAATTCGATCATGTTTGTCTCACCCACCAACAAGTTGCATTCAATCATTCAAAGGCGGGAAAGTTACAGAGAGATATTATCATGTTGTTATATAAAATACAATGGAGATCAGACAGTCTGCATCCCCGTAATGAAGGGATCCGACTTGGGCAAAGCTACATAGGTGTGAGTCAAATCAAGATGCAGAAAGTGCTATTGAGAATAGCGACCCGCCAAACAACAATCGCAGTGACGCAATGCTGCAGAACGCAACAAGCATTAATACGACTATCGTTGGGCTTATACCATTCCAAAGTCCCCCATACATTTTTTATAGGATGTGGTGATAACCGAGCACACAGTCCACCTGAAGGTAAGTGGTTGCTGCGGCCCATGGACATCTACATCTATTCTCGATTACAAATCAAAATGCAGATGCGTTGTTACCCGTGAAGACTGAGATGAAATGCCTCGTTTCCCTTTAAAGGGTCTCCGGTTCTCTACACTCACCATACGAAATACAGCAACATAAAGCTACTATGTCACGCTGGTATTCTGTGATAGCGTGGTCCTTCCCCGGTCGAGCCGACCGATTCGTGTTACAACTATACTACTTATATAACTGCAGCATGGCTCTACCATCAGACATTACCATCCGCATACCGCCATCGACCAGAACCACTAAAATGTGTCGAATCAGACGCAGCACTACCGCAGACCCATCACAAGACGCAATACCGCAAGTAGCAGTAAGTATCAATGCAACCATCATACGGATGGCGCCCCCTCACAATACACCCACATGATCCCCATCGACTTTGGTAACAAAAAATTGTATTGTTGTTTAGTAGCACGCTAGTAAGAGGCCAGTGGACAAAACTCCACGTATCATACCGCTAATGCACTAAGACATGAAGTTGTCAGTTGTTGTAAAGTGCTGCTAAACACACTCATACTATCCGAAAGATAGACGTATCATCGCTGCGCGCTACCACTGCTCCCACAAACGGTATGGGTGTGCGATGTCCACGGGAAAGTCGTATTGCTACAAAAACCTACTTACCACCAGCACTAAGATAAAATGTCTAGGACACATCGGTTAGCGAGTCCAAGTTTACCTCGGTCTCGGTCGCTTGTGATGCACTATACACGCCACTATAATAATCATTTTCAAGTCCCATTTCTATTAATATTATGCTATTAAATACTTGAGACCTTCCACAAATTTGTTTTATTTCATAGGCCTTACTATTATAAGTATTTATATTTATACCATGTCAGTCCATAACTCTACTATCATAATGCTTATGCATCAAAGAGACCTTCTATAATAATGCTTTTGTGTCATAGACCTTACATAAGTCTTTAATATATAGGACTTCAATCCACAATTCTAGTACTGTAATGCTTATATATCATAGAGACCTTCTATAATAAAGCTTTGACTATACATTGTGCTACAGTACTATAAGTAGTCGTTGCGGGTGAAGACTCGCCGACCGCCTGATCATCTGAGGGTGGAAAGGAGACGGAGGAATTAAAGCGTGCAGTTCCAGCGTACGCTCTCCGAAATGCATATAGAATACCGATAGGTTAGCTACTCTGCGCCTGTGCTCGAGGTTGTCAAGGTTGGTTTGAACCAAATCGGGGTCACCAATGATCCTCTTAGCACGTCTCCGCACTGAGTCCAACGTTGCCAGATGACATTTTGCAGCACCAGCCCATATGTGACAGCAGTATTTCATGCACACCCGGACTTGTGCTTTATATAAGGTAAGAAGCTGTCCCGGCGTAAAGTACCGCCACACCCTTGCAAGAACACCTAGTGTCCTTGCGGCTGCTTTGGCTCTGGACTCAAAGAACCGCCCATAGTTGGGGTTCGGAGAAAATTCAACCCCCAACAACTGAACTCAGCGTACTCCAAGGATACATTCCGGAAAGTAGGAGCCAAGGTGAGCGGGCTCCTTCTAGCGTTGAAAAGACACGCTTGTGTTTCAGAAACTGCCTGTAGTGAGAGACTTACATGCTCGATCATAGCCTCTCTTTCAGACTGGATTTGATCCCGACTGGCCCGAGCACTTGATTGGTATCTCTCTAAAACTGTGCTATCTTCAGAATACCCATAGATACCGGACATAAGCAGATCATTAATATGCAGCAAGAAGAGAGTTGTGGAGAGAACGGACACTTGAGGAACACTGGCATCAGTTACCACAGGATTGGATTAGCAGCCATCGACGACAACTTGGAGAGACCGTTTACTCAAAAGTCCTTTACCCATTCAATCAGACCAGGAGATAAACCGTACGCTCGAAGCTTACCTAAAAGGCTAGCGTGCCAAACTTTGTAAAAGGCCTTCGAGACATAAATGCAAAAAACAGTAAGTGCTTTCCCACTGTTCTCGAGTGCCTCGCCTGGTATACGCTAGAAGATCCCCAGCTGATCGATTTCGGCAAAACCCGTATTGCCGGTCACTAAGGAGGTCATTTTGTTCTAGGTATGTCATTAAGAGGGCGTTTAATATACGCTTCATAATATTGCAGAGTATGGAGGTAATTGAAATTGGCCGATAGTTGGCAGGGTCTGCACGGCTACCTTTTTTAGGCACAGGCTAGATATTAGATAGCTTCCAAGATTTGAGCACTATTCCAGTCCTGAATGAGAAGCGAAACAAGCGCGTCAACACAGGAGACAACTCAGCTGCACAGCCCTTTAGAACTATAGCCGGTATGCCATCATCTCCACTGTCTTCGTTCAAGTCTAGACTTCTCATGGTTTTAAGAACCTCCTTATTGGTGATACGGACATCTGACATAGAGGTAACACAGTGGGTAACTGAGATGATACGCTGTTGCTAATTCCCAGACGCGAATTGCAAGCAAAAAGTGAAGCAAATAAATACGCTTTCTCCTTAGGAGCATGCGCCAGTGAGCCGAGTGAGCAGTGTAGACTGACAGAAGTTTATCTCGACCGCTTTGGCGAGAGACCAAAAAGCTCTACTGCCAGATGATTTGACAGAGAGCTTTGTACCAATACGTTTAATGCTATCGAAACTGGCTTGCCATAACGCCTCTTTGCAAGACTTGGCGGCTTAGTTAGAGGCTTCCTTCTTAGGCATCGAGCATCGACCCAGCATAAGTACGCCATATGCTTGTGCTTTTCAGCACGAGCAAACTCGGCGTTAAACCATGGGCGAGCTTTACCACCAATGGGCACGTCAGCAAAGGCGATGAAATACTCGATCGCTTGACGTATCACATCGGTTATGGTACCCGCGCAGTTCGACGGATCTTCGGACGAGAAGCAGAACTGCCGCCAAGGATAAGACGGAAAGAAATGCCGCATTTCATCCCAATCTGCTAACTTGTATCGCCACACCCGCTGCACACCGTGGAAATCGTAGTTGGGTTAGGAACATAACGACACAGATTTCACCAGACAGTGGTCAGAAGTTCCCAACATGTACACACTTGTGTATGCGTCTCCGGCAGATACCCTAATATAAGCAACCTATACACGAACACCCTCCATAACTTAACAATTTTCTTATACGCGAACACGCTCAAATACTTAGATAATCTTATTTATACACGAACTCCTTCCATAACTTAGGCAATTTTGAACAAATTTTCCAATTATTTTATAAAATGTTATCTTTATTGTTATAATATTTTCGACCTGTAATTCTATTATTTATTACATGTTGAATATTTTAAAAAAGTTTTTAACATATTTATTTATTTTGAAATGCAATATTAAGCCTTATAATTTACAATAATACTTAATGTCTGAAATGTATTTATTTTTACTTTATGCTTACTTATGTATTTTTATTGTTTAATATATTTCTTCTAAGATAATTTTTGACGGCTTTATATAGAAATCAATTTTTTAATATTACATAAAACATATTACCATAGTACATAGTTACTTATTTATAATAATAATGGGCCGTAACAATAGCATTCACCAGTTCGGGATGAAACATTTTCTAGACTATGTCGTTATAGGATACATTTTTGATAATCACTCAGATATCTTTTATCAGATGGTGCGTCAAACCTGTCCTGAACCCTGTTCATGTGCAATGACACATGTAGTGTCGGATCTTGCTGGGGCCGTGATACCGATGATCACTGTAGACTGTTCCAACAGACATTTAGAAATGCCACCGGCCACTCTACCGCCTGGAACTACTACTTTGAGACTGGAAAACAATAAGGTATTTTTTTGTATATAATGAACTATTTTATCAAATGAATAAATTTTAAGCGTGTTTAATTTTAAGTTAATAATTTTTTTGCTACGTTAAACTGTTTCCTTTAACAAAATATATAATCAAACGCTTTTCCCATATTCTTAAAATTTAATATATAAAAATAGCTATAACTGCTGACATTTATGAAAGTTACCCGATTGGAACTCAGTGCTCACAAAAATTGTTAACGTGTAATTTCACTAACTGAATCATCACTTAATTTTCAAAGTTAATAATAAAGAAGTAACAGCCTTTATACATCTCGAACTTCACATATCTTCGAAATATGTACTTGGACATGCAGGTTTCCTCACAATGTTTTCCTTCACCGTCGAACACGTGATAAATTCGCACTTAAAATTGAAATTAACAATTTTTTTGGTGCTGGCGGTAATCGAACCCGGGTTGCTCGCGTGCATTGTAATTTGCAGCGATCTCAGCCCCTGACGGGTCAATTCGCACTTCATTGTGGTGTGAAAAAATCATCCCAAGAAAAACAACCTCACTCTCACTCTAGAAAATAGAAATATCCAAAAAAAATATATGGGCCAGTGATTACATAAAACCTATCACCTAAGGAAATAAAACCATTTGCGTGTAGCGTAAAAGTTGCTGGAATTACTGAATTTCAGTAAAATTGACAGAAATTCCTGATAGATTCCTAAGGTCCTGGCTTTTAATATCTCTCCAGATGTGTCAGATTGCCGTTCCATCGCACTATGAAAGTGAGAGAATAGAAAGTGAACCTTTGCTTGCACACGCACTCTTGCACCATAATCCCATACTACGTAGGTGGAGTATATAAAGTAAGCATGGCTGCCGTAATTTTTTTATGAAAGTGAAGTGAAAAAGTAAATTAACAGTCCAATGATGGTAAGTGGCTTCTCATTAAACGAACACCTGCAGCCAAATTTAAACAAAGAAAGCTGCAGATGCGTTGTCACTTCTGAGTACTGATGACTCTGACACTACTCTTGAAATCAGAACACAATATTGCAAGCATTGCTATTTTGCAGCAGTAATAAGTAAGAGGGTAACATCCAGGTGTACTTCTAGACAGAAAGGGTGTCTCACCACCTATTAAAAGGCCTGAAAGACATTGTAATTTTTTTAAATACAATTGTATTCACGTAGTTGCTGAAGTCATTTGCTTAAAAATGTAGTAGACATTAAAGCAAAAAATTAATTTTAGATCAACACAATAAGGATGATAATACAGAACCCTCAATATAAGAAACTCGCAGATTTGTATTTAGACAATAACAGCATATCAACCGTTAAAGAACTAGAAGGTTGGGAGTGGTTTGGAACATTCCGTGTTTTAAGTTTACGAGGAAATCTGTTGAAACAGGTACATATATTCAAGTTTTTATTAATATTACAACCTTATAAAGGTCTACTGCTGATTAAAGGCAAAAATAAAACTTTATATCTTTAAAAATGAAAAAAAAAGTTAAAAGAAGACCAAATATATATCAGTAGTTTTTATATGCAAATTATATTTGAAGTAATTAAAATTAAAATTAAGCACAATGAAGAGAATTATCATAAAACATAAAATTATTATCTTACCACTTATCGAACGGACCCTTATGCAAGACAGGAAGTTCATTTGGGTCATAAAAATTATTCTTAATAGAATCATTTCCTTATTTATTAATAAGCTATATTTTACTTTTTAGATTCCTGTGTATGCGTTTGATAAGGCGATCCAAGCCAATAATAATATAATGCACTTACTGTTGGGCCATAATCCCTGGCGATGCGACTGTCACTTTATTCCCAGATTTCAAGCCTTACTACATAAGTATAAGCGAGTGATACGCGACCAGCTAGATATAAGATGTCCAAAGTCCGATGATAAAACTATCTCTCTTGCACAGGTAACTGCTACGTACCTAATGTTCTAATAAATTTTACAGAAACAGTTATTCATTTCTTTCTTTGACTTTTGTTTTTCTTTTGCCTCATCAATATATTTAGAAAATTTGTATTATTTTTGAAAAGGAGTTCCGACGCGGAGAAAAAAGAGAAATATCAATAACCCAGCACTACCAACTAAAAACTGTGCTTTATTGATTCCATCGTTTTAAGAAATTTCCATTTTGTCTATAAATATTATAAATTAAATTTTTTACATATCTTACTGTTACTCAATAAAGCATCACTTCATTGGTGATTCAATAAAGCTTCTGCTACGCAAAATGTAAGGCATAATTTATTATTATGTGTTTTTTTTGTTTCAGATTAGTGTAATGTCTTTAGGAAATGTATGCAGTAGAAGTCAAGTAAAAATGCCCATAAGCTACATAAATATTATTAATTTAACTCTAGCTGCGCTCATTTCATTAATTATTGGACGGTTTCTATACGATTGGCATAATTTTAAAACAACTGGAAAATTACCTTGGATATCATCAATTTTACCATAAAATTACTCAATTGGTATGCCGCAAATTCAAGCAATGCATTCTGCAATAAGGCTCTTATTCATCTATTATGAATCGTTTAATTATGCCAAAAAAACCAAGTTTGTTAGAAAAAGGCTTTAATAATTACCGCAAGAGAATTGTGTTGAAATTGTGGTTGAAGAATCGTAGAAACGTAACGGAGATGAAAATGAAAATTGTTGTACTAAAGATGTTATTCTTAATTCAAATCAAGGGACGAAGAATATTCCAAAAGAATTTTTAACTTATGCGATACGAGGTTGATATGCAGGATGAGCAAAAGAAAAAAAGTAATATAGCCTAAGTAAAGTCTGGTTAAAAGGTTTTTAGTAGCTGTTATTAATAAACATTTGAAGGTTTTTGAATGTTTGTATTACCTTATTTTATTCTAAAAGTAACTTTAAAAATATTAATAATAATCATGACATTATAAAAAAGAATAACTACCCGCATATGGTTGGTCGATACATTTGCCACGCTTGACAGCGGATTGGTAATCGCAGTTTTTTTTCTAGTTTTTATTGAAAAGACGCTGCTATTTATCTCCTCGTTTGTTTCCTTTTGTGGCCTCTTACGGTACTCACGGGAGATTATGGGGTAGTGGATATTCTTATAACGGGATTAAACAAAATATTGGATATATTTCATATTGATATATTTTTTAACAGGGTAAAGCCGTGCATCAGCTATAATAGAAGTGTAGTTCATCATCATCCTTCACAGTTAGCTACCGTGGGTAAATCTTTGTTTCAGAGAGCACGAGGGATCTGTGACAGAAAACATCTGGCCGCGGAGCTTTAGCACGTCAAGCAAGTATTGCAAGACAACAAGCTTAGGGTCCCGCGCCTACGTCACAGTGAACGAGTGAAGCCGGCCACAGTCGAGCGCGCGCCTGCTCTACTACCATATGTCAGAGGAGTCACGGACAAGATTGGCTACATCTTGAAGCGAGCGTCCATTAAGACATACTACAAGCCGCTGAAGAAGATTAGTCAATTTTTACCATCCATCAAATGTAATATTCCTCTACAAGATGCAGGTGTGTACAAGCTAGATTATAATTGTGGTCTCTCTTACATAGGTCAAACAAAGAGATCTATAAAAACCCGCGTGAAGGAACATATAGCTGATGTGAAGCACCGACGCTCCGGGAAGTCTGCAGTCTGCGAACATGTTCAAGATCGTCCCCACCATTACATTAGATTTGATAAACCACAAATTCTCGCAAAAGAACACCGATTCCTACCAAGGATGATACGCGAGGCTATTGAAATTAAAAAAACATCCAAATTTCAATAGCGAAGATGGTTGGGTGCTACCATCTGCTTGGGATCCTATAATTAACAAAATTAAACCCAAACCCAAGCATACCACTGCAAGACTTCATGTACTATAAGCTCGTTTTGCGTAAATCGGACCAAAAATTAATATTAAAAAAACTGAAGGTAGCCGGACTAACTATGACATTGGGACGTCAAACATCTCAGTCCCCCCCGTAACCATGGGCACCCGAAACGTTGGGATAATAATAAAAATAAATTAAAGTAATTAAACGCGATAAAATCCGTAAATAATAGTTTTATTCAGAAGTGTAGTTGTAACACGAATGGGTCGGCTCGACTAGGGATAGACCACGCTCTCACAGAATACTAATGTAAAATAGCGGTAAGCCCTGCTGTATATGTGTATTTCGTATGGTGAGTATAAAGAACCAGAAATCCATTTTACTGGAAACGAGGCATTCCATCTTAGTCCTTACGGGTGATAACGCATCTGCATTTTGATTCTTAATCGGGTATAGATGAAGGTATCTTTGGGCCACAGCAACCACTTACCATCAGGACTGTGTGCTCGCTTGTCACCTTATCTAAAATAAAAAATTACGTCTAGTTCTTTTAATATCTTCTTCTTTTTTTAATTCTTTTTAAATTTCCAGAGTACAAGGTACAAGAAAATCCATATTTTAATATTATAAATGCAAAAGTGTGTTTGTTTGTTTGTTTGTCCTTCTTTCACGTCGCAACAGAGCGTCGGCATGGCATGATTTTTTGTATGGGGATAGTTCGGGGGCTGTAGAGTGACATAGGTTACTTTTTTCCGCGGAAAAACATCTCATTCCCGTGGGAAAGTAGAATTTGTTGCAAAAGTTTGTCCTTCTTTCACGTCGCAACAGAGCGTCGGCATGGCATGAATTTTTGTATGGGGATAGTTCGGGGGCTGTAGAGTGATATAGGCTACTTTTTTCCGCGGAAAAACATCTCATTCCCGTGGGAAAATCGAATATGTTGCACAAGTTTGTCCTTCTTTCACGTCGCAACGAGGGCGTCGGTATGGCATGATTTTTTGTATGGGGATAGTTCGGTGGCTGTAGAGTGACATAGGCTACTTCTTTTAGCGGAAAAACATATCATTCCCGTGGGAAAATCGAATATGTTGCAAAATTAAATTCAGATAGGTGGCGCCACCGTGATTCTACAAGACGGACGACGGTACGACGGACGAACACACAAGGTCAGAATATCTGGATTATTATGTCTTTTTACCAAAATTAAGATAAAAAATGTATGGATCTGTATTTTTCCACGCAGGACCGGGAAGAGAGCGATAAAAAACATAAAATTCACCAGCTGATTTTCTTCAAACGTTTTGGTGCATTGTAATTCACAGAATAGGCGATAACCTCGCAGACGATATTAAGTAATCCGTTGATGCTCTGCCTACCCCGCAAGGGTCGCAGGCGTGATTATAACTATGGATCAGAAATACTATCACCACCTGTCAAGCTTTCACCATTAACTATTACTTAACTGTGGTAGAAACAGTTCTTAGTAAGCCTTATTAATAAGCCTTAGTAATATTTATTGAACGGAAATGAATACAGTTCTTATATGTGTTTATGAATGAATCGGTATTACAATAAGAAAAATTGTGCAAAATTATAAGAAAAATATTTTTTGAGAGTTCTTATTAACTAACGTATACATGGTTTAAATTGATTACGCTAGATGTCGTTACTAGGTTTTTAAAACGCGGTAACGAAATGTTTCCTGACATGTACTTAACTCCCGTAGTTGAGCCGCGCGACAACTTATAGTGCATGCGGTACCTATACATTTAAATTGTTTCTATTTGGTAGCTTATTCGGCTACCTGCTTTCGATTTCGGTTGTTTGTTATTTGCTTTGTGATTTGGTTAAGGTTGAATGAATTTTTATGTGCTTTCATTTTCGGATTTGTGTATTTTTTGGATAGGTTATGTTGATTTGGTTGGTATTCCTTTATACATATTTAGACTCTGGCTTTGATTTTGGATTTTGTTTATTTAGAATCGTGAATTGGTTTTCGTTGTTTTAGGTTGTTTAACAATATTTCAAAGGAATATTAATAGTATAGATAGTGTGTACGGTACCTATAGACTTACTTCTTTTTTCGTTGGTTATATTTATATTGACTACTACTTTCGATTTCGGTTTTATGCGATTTGTTTTGTGATTTGGTTTTTCGGATTCGTGTTGTGTCTTGAATTGGTTTTGTTGTTTTGATTTTAAAAAATATTTAAAAGGAATATTTACTCCTTTTAGATATTTTGGATTTGCTGTAAAAAATATTTAAAAGGAAATTTAATTCCTTTTAGGTATTTTAACGTTTTTTTATAAATAGGTTTTTGTTACTTGATAATGCAGCGCAAACTTAAGTCCAGCCTTTCAAGAGTATCTTCTCAAAGACAAGCGAAATAATTAGCTCGATCGCTAGGATCTTTAGAAGATGCTGAACTGAGAAGGCAAGAACAAGCAGGCGTCAGGCTGCTTTTAGAGCATCTGAGACCCCTTCTCAACGTCAGAAAAGGCGTCTTGAACAGACAGAGCGTCAGGCTGCTTTAATAGCTTCCGAAACACCTTCTGAAAGTCAGGAAAGGCGTCTTGAACAGGCAGAGCGTCAAGCTACTTTAATAGCTATGAAACACCTGCTCAAAGTCAGCAAAGGCGTCTTGAACAGGCAGAGCGTCAAGCTACTTTAAGAGCTACTGAAACACTTGATCAAAGTCAGCAAAAGCGTCTTGGACAGGCAGAGCGTCAAGCTACTTTAAGAGCTACTAAAACACTTTATCAAAGTCAGCAAAGGCGAATTGAAGAGGCAGAGCGTCAAGCTACTTTAAGAGCTACTAAAACACCTGATCAAAGTCTGCAAAGGCGTCTTGAACAGGCAGAGCGTCAATCTATTTTAAGAGCTACTGAAACACCTGCTCAAAGTCAGCAAAGGCTATTCGAACAAGCGGAACGTCAGGCCGCCTTAAGAGCCGCGGAAAAACCTGATGAAACTCACCACAGACTCATTGAGCTAGCTGAACGTCAATCTACTATAAGAGCATCTGAAACACTAGAACAGTCACAGGCGCGAAGGATGCAAATGCGAGAGCTGAACGTCGACATAATTTTCAAAGAAACATTTGGTCGGTTTTTAAAGATGCAGCATTCAATTCTGATCCGTTGACTGATTACAAAAATCACAGGCAAAGTGTCTCTTCCGTTACTTGGGGAACCAGAAGAACCTGTGAAAACTCTCTTTTATATGATGCTAATGAGTCACGGCGCTTTTTAAACAGGATCCGAAAATATAACTCATGCTTTCAAATGACGTCCTTCGGAGTTGACCGGGAAATAATAATGATTTTCGCCTACATTTACGGTGCAAGGGCAAATTTATCATAGAATAGGTTCACTTTTTCCAGCTGAAAAACGAACAGCATAAATTTTTACAAGTATATTTTATGGGTGACGAAGAAATTGAGGTAGACCGTCGCTGCCAATTTATCCAGGGAGTTGAGAGAGACACAGTGTTCAAAATTGAAATATTCTTGCATGAACGTAACATTTTAGTCAAAACATTTAAAACTGCTTTAGAAAACATAACTGAAGAGGATTATAAAGTCGTCATTCACGCACCTTTGATAAACGAAATAGCAGCCGTAATTAGCGGTGATCA